TGGCAGATCCGTTTCTAAAGAGAGGAAGGCACTTCACGGAAGCCTGGGCCTGAGTAAGCAGCCTCTAAGTGCTGACAGAGAAGAAGGAAGGGAGAAGTAGAGAAAGAAAATAACTGGCTCTGGTTATAAAAAAAAAAAGAAGGCTGAGAGGGAAGGAAGAAAGGAGAAAAAAACTCAAGATTGGGACGAGGAAGGAAGACTTGCTGGAAGGAAGGAAGGAAGGAAGGAAGGAAGGAAGGAAGGAAGGAAGGAAGGAAGGAAGGAAGGAAGGAAAATGGACAGAGAATGAAAGGGAGAGAGGGAGGAAGGAAGGAAAATGAAAGGGAGAGAGGGAGGAAGGAAGGAAAAGACAGAGAAAGGAAGGAAGGAAGGAAGAAAGAAAGAGAATGAAAGGGAGAGAGGAAGGGAGGAAGGAAAAGACAGAGAAAGGAAGGAAAGAAAAGGCAGAGGAAGAAAGGAAAACAACAAACAGATCATACAACAAAAATCATAAGACTGGCATAAGGGAGGGACTGGCACTTTCTTGAAAGAAAGTAACTGAACACTTGGGCAGAAAACGAGGGTGACACTCGGAAGGAAGGACCACTGTTCTATGTTGGAAAGAAATGCCAGGAGGACTTCTTTCTAATAGAGCGTAAAATGAATCTCAGCAGTTCAAACCAACGATGTGACCCAGTTATGTCAAATTCAAATCCAATTTGACTTTGAGCACCAAGATACTTGGGCTTCAATAGGGATGGGCAGGTTAGGATTTCAGGACCTTGGACAGCTACATGACAGAGACGTGCCTTGTTGAGGTCAAAGCTGAATCTTGGACCTTCTCTTCCATACATGAATTGTGTCCTCATGTGTGTCTCCAAAGCCTTGGATCCTTCACCAGAAACCCTTCAAAGGAATGATTTGCTTAACAACCACATCCCTTAATGGCCAACATTCCAGCCCAATTATAGTTGTAAGTCAAGAACTTCCTATATTCTCTTTCATGAACAGGACACAAAAACTTGTGAAATGGCCAGAAAAGCAGAGGCAGAAATGAAGATTTTTTTCTTCTTTCTTTGCCTTCATGTTTTCCAATTATTCAACTTCCAAAATTCATTTTTTTGGGGTGGAGGTGGGGATGTTGCTTCAGCTTCAATACCAGGAACAAAATGTCCTTTAAACTGTTTAAACAGAACTACAGTGCTGCTACATTATTCAAAATGCCACCGCGATTAAAGCCTCGTGGAGAATAATTTAACTTTTCCGAATGAAGGAGAAATAAAATAAAAGTAGACATACTGCTTTTAACTCCCCAAGGTTATAATCAATATTAGATCAATTTGACTCAACCCTCCTTTTTATATGCACATTTTGTGAAAAGGATCCTGACAGGTTTTGAGCTTCAGGAACAAAGCTTTCCTGCAAAATGGATTAACATATCTTTCTGATTGTATATTCGCCAGCACCTAGAGCAGTGGTTCTCAACCTGTGGGTCGGGACCCCATTTGGGGTTGAACGACCATTTCACGGGGGTCGCCAAACAACGCAGTCCGCCATTTCCCCCCCCCCTTTTCCTTAGCTGTGCTATTCCCTTTTATTCTATTGGCTTTTGAAAGCCAATAGAATAGACTCTTTTGAATAGAGTCTAATTCTATTGGCTTTCCAAAGCCAATAGGAATTGTCCAGGCTGTCTCTGCCCTGCTGAGCCCGCCAAAAGTCCCATTCTGCAAATGGTGCTGCACCAGTTGAGTAGTCCTCGACTTACGACCGGTTGGGGGCCGCGGCATTAAAAAGGTTGAGAACCACTGACCTAGAGTGACTTGAACAACTTAGTAATGAGGGCAGCTCTACCACAATGCTAGACACATGAGGAACAATTTGGGGCAAGCTCTTGCTTGATCCGCAAAGACTTCCAATCCCTAATTCCTCTGGAACAGGGTGTCAAACTTGCAACATCACATGACTCGTCGCGACATATCGTGACTTTTTCCCCATTGCCGGCAAGTGGGTGGGTGCAGTTTTGGCGTGACACATCTGGCCCACGGGCCAGCGGTTTGACACCCCTGCTCTGGAACTTTGAGATGGAATCTGCCTTCAAATTTGATCCCTTTGGAGAGATCCAGCTAATGGGCCAGATGTCAAGAGATTGTCAGAGCAGTCGCCTCCAAGATGGAGAAAGCAGGAGACAGAAGATGGGGGCAAGCAGGATGAAATGCTGTGGACATTCTGGTGTGAAGCTGTAAAGCAGGGGTCTTCAAACTTGGCCCTTTTATGACTTGTGGACTTCAACTCCCAGAATTCCTCAGCTAGCGTGCCTGGCTGAGGAATTCTGGGAGTTGAAGTCCACAAGTCATAAAAGAGCCAAGGCTGCCTACCCCAATCTAAGCTGTGCTGTCTCTTGGACTTCTGGAATTCAGCCCCTCCCTCCTGGGAATCCAGACTACAATCCACCACAGCTGATCCCTGGAATGCAGTTTCAGTTCCAAATGAGTCACTTAACAACAGAAGTTTTGGGCTGAATTGTGGTCGTAAGTCGAGGACTACCTACACTCCAAAGCTTCACCATTTTTGAAGGACACCAGAAAAGCCCCTGTTACAGATCTTAACTAGCCAGCAGATACAATGCACAATCCTTCGTTGTTCATTTTGACCTTTCCACAAGAGATTCTTGAACGATTACCTCTATTATTTCTATTGGTTGAAAAATGTCCTGCCTAAAGTACACCTTAATGTGAAAAAAAGAGATTGATATACAATGGTTGGTTTCCAACACGTACGCACAGCATGCCACGATATCACTCAAACCAAATCCATCTCATCATTTAGACCGTTTTCACTCTTGACAATGAAGCTTGCCCTGAGCTGGCAATTAATCTCATCCGAAAAGAATTAAAACACCATGCCGCCGAGTGGGCCTTGCCATGAATATATCAGTAACTGTTATTTCAGTCTTGCTTATTTGAGGGACAAATCCCCCCAAACCCATTATAAATTAAGGAAAGCACACAGACTTTTAAAAGGGAGGAAAAGCAATTAGAAATGGAAGAAACGTCCAAAATATATCCTGGAACCAACTGCCAGGCACAAAACTAAAAGCGACACACTGGGATTCTTCCAGGTTGCGTTGTTTTAATTTTTTTCCACACCTATTGACAACATCATGCCAAACTGAACACTCAGTTATCTGCATCTACAATATACTCTGGGAACTAGTAGGGAGGACCTGTCTTTTTCTCTTTCTTTCACACATTATCTGAACTGAGTTTGCCTCTTGGTCCTCTGGAATGCAGCCCCTCCCTCCTGGAGAGCCCCCTCCTCACTGTATTCCATCACATCACGTGCAGACTTCAATTCCCAGAATTCTTCAGCCACCCATGTGTGGACTTCAACTCCCAGGATTCCTCAGTCACCACCTGTCCGGACCCAAACCAAGTATGACACGTGGTGATTCTTCCAATGTTTAGTTCTTTACTGTGTCACACCTACAGGCAGAATCTTGCCGGGCTAAACGCTCAACTCTCTGCCTCTAAAATATACTCCAGGAAACTCTTAACTCTAAAACATATGAGGAACGGTTGCTGGAATTGGGTATGACTAGTTTAATGAAGAGAAGGACGAGGGGGGACAGGATAGCAGCCTTCCAACATCTCAGGGGTTGCCCCAAAGAAGAAGGAGTCAAGCTATTCTCCAAAGCGCCTGAAGGCAGGACAAGAAGCAACGGAGGGAAACTAATCAAGGAGAGAAGCAACCTAGAACTAAGGAGAAACTTCCTGACAGTTAGAACAATTAACCAGTGGAACAACCTGCCTCCAGAAGTGGTGAATGCTCCAACACTGGAGGTTTTCAAGAAGAGACTGGACAGCCATTTGTCTGAAATGGTATAGGTATATTTGTCTGAACGGGGGTTAGACTAGATGAACTCCAAGGTCCCTTCCATCATCATCATCATCATCATCATCATCATTATTATTATTACTATTCTCACACACTATTTTCCAAAGCGCCTGAAGGCAGGACAAAAAGCAATGGATGGAAACTAATCAAGGAGAGAAGCAACCTAGAACTAAGGAGAAACTTCCTGACAGTTAGAACAATTAACCAGTGGAACAACCTGCCTCCAGAAGTGGTGAATGCTCCAACACTGGAAGTTTTTAAGAAGAGACTGGACAGCCATTTGTCTGAAATGGTATAGGGTTACCTGCCTGAGTAGGGGGTTGGACTAGATGACCTCCAAGGTCCCTTCCAACTTTACTACTACTACTACTACAGGGCTGAGTTGCCTCTTACTCCTCCAGAATGCATCCCTCCTGGGGATTCACTTCCTCCCTACAATCCAGCAAACCAACCACTCTCCTAGATATATTCACTTGCTTCTTTTCAAGTCTATCTTTCAAATAATAATAATAATAATTTCTCCCTGGCTTCAACTTTCCCCCAAATTCAGACATATGCAAAAGATGCATATAAATTCAACCAGTGCTATATTCCTAGTTTTTTTCTCCTGCAGACAGGAACAACTCCCTAAGGTGAGCTCAGAAGACATCCAAGGACTTCTTAATCAAAGAGAAGAACCAAAGCATTTTGACAACTGCTCTGGTGAAAACAAGGCTGCCTTCAAAAGCCACCTTTGTTTCTTTCTCCTTGCCGCTCAATCTAATTATGCGGTCCTCTCTTTTTTTTGTGGGTTGTCCTGTTTCCAGGTAAACTTCCCCTTTTTGCAAGCATAGACTCGGTTATGGGGACCCTCCCATCTTCTCCTCTTCTGCAGCAGTCCTTAAGGATGCCCACTTTACTCTTTGCTGATCTTTGAAATTACTTTGAAATTACTTCCTGACAGTGAGAACAATTAATCAGTGGAACAGCCTGCCTCCAGAAGCAGTAAATGCTCCAACACTGGAAGTTTTTAAGAAGAGACTGGACAGCCATTTGTCCGAAATGATGTAGGGTTTCCTGCCTGAGCAGGGGGTTGGACTAGATGACCTCCAAGGTCCCTTCCAACTTTACTACTATTACTGTATTACCTTTTGCTGATTCAGATCGCTTCGGTAGATCCAGTGTATCAAAGTTCCGGTCCACATCGCCGTTCTTCTTTCCTGAGCAGGACACACAAGACATGAGAAAAATCAACAGGATTTGGGGGGGGGGGGAGAGGAATTAAACTTCATCTGTTTCTCCTTAATCCCAAATGAGGACAAACTGAACACAAAGCTCACATCCACACCCACCCGCCCATATCCCCATCATCCATACATGCATTTTGTCCTTAGGTAACTTTGGGACATGTTTACTGGACATGCAGATGAGGTTTCCATGGATTAGCAGGAAGGACAAACAGATGGTGGGATGTATGATCGACTGGTATACAGATAGTCCTCAACTTACGACTGCCATCGGGACGAGAACTTTTGTTGTTAAGTGAGTGGCACCTGGTTTTATGACCTTGTTTGCCACAGCTGGGAAGGGAATCCCTGCATTGTTAATCCACTGATTTTGCTCGTCGGAAGCTGCTTTGGAAGGTCCCAAATGTTGATCATGGGATGCCAGGATGCCACAACGGTCATAAATACACAGGCTGGTTGCCAAGAACCCAAATTTTGATCACATGACTATAGGGATGCCGCAATGGTTTTACGTGCAAGAACTGGTCGTAAGTCACTATCTTCCATGCCGTTGTAACTTTGAAACGTCACTAAACAAGGGATTGTAAGTTGAGGACTACCTGTATAGTTTACTGTATTTGTACTGTGATCTTCCTCTAGAAACTGAAGGGAAACTCAGACCCGGCTCTGCCTTCATTTTATCACCCATCACCTCCCTGTAAAATAAATTAGATTAAGAGAAAATAGCTGGAGCAAAGTCTTCCAGCAGTCTTAAAATCAAATGGGAGAGTTGAATCTGGATCTCCGCAGGAGTAATTAGCCACTTAATCACTTAACTAGTGGTTACGGCACCAAGCTAGAAAGTGGGAGACTGTGAGTTCTAGTCCCATCTTAGAAGTGAAAGCCAGCTGGGTGACTTTGGGCCAATCACCACTAGGAGATGGTGAATTCTAGTCCCACCTTAGACCTGAAAATGGCTGGGTGACTGTGGGCCAATCACCACTAGGAGATGGTGAATTCTAGTCCCATCTTAGACATGAAAGCCAGGTGGGTGACTTTGGGCCAATCACTAGGAGACGGTGAGTTCTAGTCCCGAATCACCAGGAGACTGGGAGGTCATGTCCTGCCTTACCTATGAAAGCTGACTGGGTGACTTTGGGCCAATCACCACTAGGAGATGGTGAATTCTAGCCCCACCTTAGACATGAAAATGGCTGGGTGACTGTGAGCCAATCATCTCTAGGAGATGGTGAATTCTAGTCCCACCTTAGACATGAAAATGGCTGGGTGACTGTGAGCCAATCACCTCTAGGAGATGGTAAATTCTAGTCCCACCTTAGACATGAAAATGGCTGGGTGACTTTGGGCCAATCATCTCTAGGAGATGGTGAATTCTAGTCCCACCTTAGACATGAAAATGGCTGGGTGACTGTGAGCCAATCACCTCTAGGAGATGGTGAATTCTAGTCCCACCTTAGACATGAAAATGGCTGGGTGACTTTGGGCCAATCACTAGGAAACAGTGAGTTCTAGTCCCGCCTGCCTTAGCCATTGAAACCAGCTGAGCGACTTTGGCCCAGTTTCTCCCAGCCCAACCCACCTCACAGGGTTGTTGTGGGGAAAATAGAAGGGGGAAGGTGTGTAGGATACGTTCCCCCCTCCCCCACCTCAAGTGATTTGCAAAAAATAATGAAGGCAGGATATAAACAAACAAACAAACAAGCCATATTCTAGCTGTCTGTCCCGATTCTAGTTTTTTTCTAGAAGTCTGACAACAGAAATTCATTTCTTTCCAGTCCTTTAAGCCAGCGAGGGTCTCATCACGCTCCCCTTCCAAGGGTTTATATGCGATGGAAAAACCTTTAAAAGTCTCCCCTCTCCAGTATAGATGAATGACAAGTCATTCGGAAAAGAAATTCAACTTTTCTCTAGCTCGGAAAGTTATGGACCTCGAGGCAACACAGAGAGAGAGGTGTTTCCAGACACAAAGTCAGCAGGATTTCGTTGCGTTTCTTTTCTTTTCTTTTCAAAATTTCACCAGGAGAAAAATCTCAGCGAGGGAAATAAGTTAAAAAAAAAAAATAATAAACTAAAAAAAAAAAAAAAAACCCCCAACCTTCCTGAGGTTCACAAATTCAGGCGTATTAGAAACACAAAGCAGCTTTTAAATGGTTCAGCAGTTTTTATCTCCATCGCTCAGAAATGTGTATACCTCAGGGAAAATTCTTGCTAGGAATATTTTTTTTGTTCAAATGTGTTTCGTGAACCACCTTTAAACTTCCTCAAAAGCCAGCTTGGCGAGGTTGGAAGATTGCCATAAGGAAACAACCCGGTGGAAGAGACGATGAATCTTTATTCCCCTCTCCACTTCCTCTCTCGCAAATCAACAAGATTAGTAATAATAATATAACAATGATTTGAAGTGTGGATTGTGAAAAGAGACCGAAGAAGCTCTAGAAAGAGTACAGAGACTCTAGAAAGAGTGTGGCGAAGAGGACTGATTAGGGGACTGGAGGCTAAAACATACAAAGAACAGTTGCTGGAATTGGGGATGTCTAGTCTAATGAAGAGAAGGACTAGGGGGGACATGATAGCAGGGTTTCAATATCCAAGGGGTGGCCACAAAGAAGAGGGGGTCAAGCTATTCTCCAAAGCACCTGAAGGCAGGACAAGAAGCAACGGATGGAAACTAATCAAAGAGAGAAGCAACCTGGAATTAAGGAGAAATTTCCTGACAGTAAGAACAATTAATGAGTGGAAGGACTTGCCTCCAGAAGCAGTGAATGCTCCATCACTGGAAGTTTTCAAGAAGAGCCTGGACAGCCATTTGTCTGAAATGGTATAGGGTTTCCTGCCTGAGCAAGGGGTTGGACTAGAAGACCTCCAAGGTCCCTTCCAACTCTGTTATTCTATTCTAAGCGGTAGTTCATACACTCAGGTCCTGTGAGAAGATTGCGCAAAGCGATTGTGAACAACAATCTACCTAACCTAGTCACCAAACAAACTCACGGGAACCTCTGTAAAAATTGCCACGGGCCAGTCCTAAAACCTTGGTGGGAACACAGAGTTGAAAAAAAAAAAAAAAGCAGATGAAAAGGAGCAAGTTAAAATATTGCCAGGTTTCCCAATACAAACTGATAAAGTCTTGGCTCATAAAGACACCAGATTTAACTGGGATTGCAAAGAAGAAAGTGTAGATAATCGTCCAGGGAGCAGCAGAACTGAAGACAACGATACGGAGCAGATCAGAAAATATCAAAGTTTGAAAAACGAAGTTGAAAGATTAAAGGATAAACTAGTAGGGGTGGACCTGGTGGTTACTATCAGTATACTGAGTACCATAGCTAAAAATTTGGGATGGCAATCTGGGGGATTGACCATATTTCCATTAGTCAATTCCAAAAGGCTACATGACTTGGCCTTACATATATATACTACGGTGATAACTTTATGTTGCCCTAGGTTTCTTGCAAAGAACTTGATGTGCACGAAGGCCAGCTGAACAATTGGCAGATGCGATTTCACATTGTTGTGTGAATATAAGAAGAAGAAAAAAAGGTAAATTTTTTCCCAATCACTCATGTCCGGCTCTAGGGCATGGTGCTCATCCCAGCACTGTCTGAAGATAATTTCCGTGGTCATCTGGCTCTACGCCAAAAGTACACAGAATGCTGTTACCTTCCCACGTGAAGTGCTGCCTCTTTATCTACTCACATTTTGTATGTGTTCAAACGTCTAGGTGGGCAGGGGCTACAGTAACAATGCAGACAAGGGCCTGCCACACAAAGTGGAAGGAGAAGCAGAAGGAGGACGTTATTTTTCATAATGGTGATGGAGGAAGATGAGGAAAAGAAGATTTTTTCCCCACAATAATGGAGGAGGAAGGAGGAGAAGAAGAAGAAGAGGAGGAGGAGGAAGAGAAGAAGAAGAGGAGGAGGAGGAAGAGAAGAAGAAAAAGAAGAAGAAGAAGAAGAAGAAGAAGAAGAAGAAGAGGAGGAGGAGGAGGAGGAGAAGAAGAAGAGGAGGAGGAGGAAGAGAAGAAGAGGAGGAGGAGGAAGAGAAGAAGAAGAAGAAGAAGAGGAAGAAGAGAAGAAGAAGAGGAGGAGGAGGAAGAGAAGAAGAAGAGGAGGAAGAGAAGAAGAAGAAGAAGTAGTTTTATAATAGAGAAAAGGAAGGTGAAAGGAGAATTCTTTTCATACTGAAGAGGAGGAGAAAGAGGGGGAGGAGGAGGAGGAGGAGGAGGAGGAGGAAGAAGAAACACAACTTGATCACATTTTTTGCTGGGTCCATCTACTCTGAAACTGATCCTTTCTTCCCCTAAAATCAGCCCAAATTCATCACAGCCTTTTCCATTCCCTGGCCATGGAGAAAACAAGCAGGATGAAAAAAGAAAAAGAAGAAGTGACACATGCACAGGGGGGGGGGGAAGCAAAGCAAGAGACCCAACCTTTATTTCTCCCAGCTTTTATCCTTACGTTGAAGGGAGGAAGAAGAAATAAATCTAGCCCAGTTGGGAAAGAGAGAGAGAGAGAGAGAGAGAGAGAGAGAGAGAGAGAGAGAGAGAGAGAGAGAGAGAGAGAGAGAGAAGAACAGAAATGGGGAGAGGAAGACACAGGAGAAGGAGTAAGAAACTCACCTTGGTTGAACCATTCCTCTAACAATCAGAAAAAGCAGCCCAAGGGGGTGAAAGTGAAAACAAACAAAAAAGTTTTCAAAAGGAAGGACTAAACAAAAAGGGAAAAATCAGACAAGAACTTTTGCAAAGTTAAACCTGGGGTTTGAGACGAGCGGAATCTCTTGACGTTTCCTGAGATGGGAAGGGCACCCTGGCTCTCTCCCCTCCCCCGCTTCCCCAAAGGGGGCTCTGGCCCTCCAGCTCTCCTCCTAGAGTTGGCTTGGTCAACAACATCCCAAAGGGTGTGTCTTCTCTTGGCAGGGAACGAAAGAGTTATCTCGGACACAAGTGGGATTGAGGGGGTCCTTGGTGCTTCTCTGAGCTTGGTGGCTGTCTGGCAGACGTTTCGTCACCGAACTAGGTAACATCATCAGGGCAGCACTGTTTGGCAAATACGCGGAGTGCGGCTGTACCAGAGACAAATTCCTTGTGTGTCTAACTGCGCTAAATATTCTATTTCTAACTATTCTATTTCTAACTTCTAACTTCTGTTCTACTCTATTTTACCCTACCCTACTCTACTCTAATTCTATTCTATTCTACTCTTTATTTTTTTTATTTATTAAACAAATTTATGGAGCCACCCAGCTCACACATAGGTAATTCTTTTCTATTGTTCTGTTCCTGTCCTGTCCTGTCCTATCCTATTTCTGTTATTCTATTCTATTATCTTTTATTCTATTCTATTCTATTCCTATTCTATTCCTATTTCTATTCTATTCTATTCTATTTCTGTTCTATTTCTATTCTATTCTATTCTATTCTATTCTATTCTATTCTATTCTATTCTATTCTATTCTATTCTATTCTATTCTATTCTTCTTCCTGTTTCTACTCTACTCTATTCCAGATTCTATTCCAGATTCTATTCTATTCCAGATTCTATTCTATTCCAGATTCTATTCTTCTTCCTGTTTCTACTCTACTCTACTCTATTCCAGATTCTATTCCAGATTCCATTCCATTCCATTCTATTCCAGATTCTATTCCATTCTATTCTATTCTTTTCCCTGTTTCTACTCTATTCCAGATTCTATTCCAGATTTTATTCCATTCCATTCTATTCTATTCCTGTTATTTTATTCTATTATCTGTTATTCTATCTTATCCTACCCTATCCCATCCCATCCCATCCCATCCCATCCCATCCCATCCCATCCCATCTTATCCTAAATACCTTCACCTTCTCTCTCATTCTTTGTCATAGTGGGCAATCAGGTATCTGTCTTTGCATGTCAGCTGAGATCATTGCTAAAGACCTCCTGGTCTGAACAGCTGAGCAGCTGTTTAGAAAGGTGTGAGGTTCTCAAAGGCCACACGTTCATGGTGATTTGATACTGAAAAACCTGCCTTGTATTACACTTGAGGGGATAAGCCACATGCTGGCCTGGTTCGGCGCAGATTAAGTTAAAACGACATTCCAGAAAAGGACCCTGACCCCGGCATACGAGCACACGCCACCTCCTGTATTGTCTCATGGAACATATGTCGCCAAGCAGGTGCACAACAATGCCTACAGATTGGATTACTCATCCCTTGCTCCTAATTTGGAGGTGACCTTCTGCTGAGGCTGTCTGAATGGAAGCTTCTTTGGGGACTGGGAACACGTAGGTCAACGTATCGTCCTTGCTACAGCCTGGTCTCATACCACCACTGCCGTAGCATCGCATTATGACCTTGCCTAACTGAATCAACAGACTGTGCCTCCGTGTGCATTGAGCAGGGAAGTGGTCCTGTGCAACTTGACTTCCCAATTCTCTCGATACCATCATGCATTGTTTGGAGAATGAAGCTCAAGGATTCTTGAAGCTGTTTGCCCACTGCTCATTACACCCAAGGGTTAGAGAAGGAAAGGTGACTAAATTCTAGTTTAGAATCAGTTCCTTCTTAGAAATGTCACTGAGAAAGGACCCAGCAGGAATCTGCACCTCGTCCTTATGGGTTAATAACGGTTTAATAACCAGATAATAACGGTTAATAATAAGTTCCCTGAAGATGGGCTCCAACATGGATCCCAAAGCTCAGAAGACAAAACCTCGGGTCCCGGATCCTGCAACATTATCCTGGGACACATGTACACTCACCTTCATTCGTGGTTAATAACGGTCTTATGAAACTATCTCTCATGAAAGCGTACGCATTTTTGTAGAACGTGTTGGTGTGAAACGGTGCCACCAGACTTCCCCTGATCTGGGGCTACCTCAGACTAATCGGAAACTAACATGGCTCTTTCCCTACAAAGCTCTACCGACATTCTTGACCTGAGTATCTCCTTCCTTTGTTGGAGAGAGGGAGAGAGAGAGAAAGGAAGAAAAGAAGAGGAGGAGAGACAGATTGATAATAATAGAAAACGGAGTGGAGCAGAGAAACCATCTTCACGATCAACTCATTTAAAAGATCACAGTGAAGTGGACAATTCAGGAGAGATTGATGACTGTGGAGTCCTTATTGCTGGTGGTTTGCTTGCAGATATTTCATGACCCAACTAGGTAATGTCATCAGGGCTAGAAGGGAGTGAAGTTTGCATGGATGGGGGGGGGAGGAGGAGGAGGAGGAGGAAGAAGAAGAAGACTGTAGGGTCCTTGGTGATCTCTTAGCTTTTGGTCTTGCAGATGGTTCATGACCCAAATAGGTAAATTCATCAGTGCTAGAAGGGAACAGAGTTTGCAGGGATGGGGAGGAGGAAGAGGAGGAGGAGGAAGAGCAGGAGGAGGGGAGGAGGAGGAGGGGGAGGAGGAGGAGGAGGAAGAGGAGGAGAGGAGGAGGAGGGGGAGGAGGAGGAGGAAGAAGATGGTAGGGTCCTTGGTGCTCTCTTAGCTTGTTGATCTTGCAGATGTTTCATGACCCAACTAGGTAAATTCATCAGTGCTAGAAGGGTTTGCTCTCTCTTTATACCCAATGGCTTGCCCTGCCAGGGGTTGGTGGGGTGTGGTTCTCTCCTTGGTAGGAGAAAACCAAAGAGTTTTGGTAGGAGAAAACTACATCCACTAGCACTGATGATGTGATCTAGTTGGGTAAGGAAGCATCAACGTACCACCAAGTTCAGAGCTAGTATGTATAAACAGGCAGCAAATCCCACCCTCCTTCATACTGATGATCTTACTTAGTTCACGAAATGTCTGCAAGCAAACCGCCCCACTCAGAGATCACCATCGTTCAACCCTGAGCTTCAGAGATTCTGTTAGATTGGTCATTAAAATCTGGCTGTTCACAGCTTGCAATGCCAGTCAGGAACAGAAGCAGGGAGGCTTCTAAGAGGTTAGTGAAATGCAACGCACAGCGTCCCTGATCAGGCTAGCTCGCTTTGGATTCTGGGACTCGGAAGCCCAAGGCAACTGGAGGGCACCATATTGGGAAAAAAAATCTGCCTTAGGTTCAACCAGGGTTGCAATGAGAATGCAGACTGGGTGCAACCTACTTCGTCCTTCCGAAGATATTAGGAAAACACGTACCTTTGGCCTTTTTCCCACCGAAGCAGCCCGCGTCGTCTTTCTTTTTCTTATGAGTTCCTCCAAAACTTCCCAGCTGGTTACTTTCTAACTCTCGGAATTTGTCGGCGCCTGGAACTTCTTTGTGGACGTGGTAGGAGAGGTTCCTCATGATGCAGACACAGTTTTCCACCGACTGAAGCAAGGTGGGGTTTTCCCCAAGAAAAAGAAGACAAGAAGATGTCAGAGAACCATCACAGAAGTCTTCAGAGAAGCTGCGAAAGCTTTGAAAAAGTCAGGGGTCACAGCCTTTGCTCACTATTAAGGAGATACTTCCCAACAGGGAGGACGATTAACCAGTGGAACATCTGGCCTTCAGAAATTGTGGGCGCTCCATACTGGAGATTTTTAAGAAGAGACTAGACAGTCACGTCTCAAACTTTATAGGGTCTCCTGCTTGAGCAGGGGGCTGGACTAGAAGATCTCCAAGGTCCCTTCCAGATTCTATTCTATTCTATTCTATTCTATTCTATTCTATTCTATTCTATTCTATTCTATTCTATTCTGTTCTGTTCTGTTCTATGCTGTTCTACTCTACTCTACTCTATTATTCTGTTCTGTTCTATTCTATTCTGTGCTGTTCTACTCTACTCTACTCTACTCTACTCTACTCTACTCTACTCTACTCTACTGTTCTATTCTATTCTATTCTATTCTATTCTATTCTATTCTATTCTGTTCTGTTCTATGCTGTTCTACTCTACTCTACTCTATTATTCTGTTCTGTTCTATTCTATTCTGTGCTGTTCTACTCTACTCTACTCTACTCTACTCTACTCTACTCTACTCTACTCTACTCTACTGTTCTATTCTATTCTATTCTATTCTATTCTATTCTATTCTATTCTATTCTATTCTATTCTATTCTATTCTATTCTAATCATCCAGGTCAAAAGTATCTTTAAAAAAGGTTAAATCCTCCTGTAATAAAAACAAGGCTTTCTTCTGCAAACTACAATTGCCTTTCAGACATGCAACCGGGAGCTTACCTTGTTATCCGTATCTTTTTTCCCCACTGCAGACTGCAAAGCGTGGAGAAGAGCATCTACCAAACCTTCACATTCTCGGAGTCTTCGTCGAGCTTCAGCGCCATCTGAACTTACATTCCTGCAAAATAGTAATCATCATCATCATCATCATCATCATCATCATCAAAATACAATGACTTACAAATAGAAATAGAAAGACTGTGGCAAAGGCAAGCAAGGGTAGTACCAATAGTAATAGGCGCCTTGGGTGCAATCCCAAAACAACTGGAGCACCACTTGAACACCATTGGCATTGACAAATTCGCCATTAGTCAATCGCAAAAGGCGGCCTTACTAGGAACTGCTTCCATCCTGCGACGATATCTGTAATACCATCAAACCTCCACATCTGCCTATCCCAGGTCCTGGGCAAGGACTCGATAGGTAGACAAAAATGCCAAATCCAGTCTGAACATTTGGCTGACTGTGCGCTGATCAATAATAATAATAATAACAACAACAACAACAAAATTCCCAATCCAGTCTGAACATCTGGCTGACTTTGCGATGATCAATAATAACAACAACAACAACAACAACAACAACCAGATCACATGACTTGCCAGAAGCTTTCCAATCAATCACGCAAGTTCGCCCCTTAAGGGCACCCATTGCCGGCGTCAAGATAGTAATCGTTTTCAAGCAATCAACACTTTTTTTAAAAAAAAAAGGTCATCCTTTTCGCCAAAGTGGTAGAGATAGTCCTCAATTTATAACAGTTCATTTAGTGACCATTCAAAGTTACAGCAGCACTGTAAAAAAGTGACTTATCTCCATTTTTCACACTTTGCAGCCTCCCCCTGGTTGTAGCAACCGCATTACTAACTTTAACAACTGCAGTGATTTCACTTAACAACTGTGAAAGGATGTAAAATGGGGCAAAACTCACTTAACAAATATTTCGCTGAGCAACAGAAGTTTTGGACTTAGTTGGTGTTGTAAACTGAGGGCTACCTGTATAATTGGGGAAAATACATCTTTAAAAAAAATATCTGCATTTTTCACGCCTAATTTCAATTCCTGCATTTGTCATTTGGTTAAACCGAGAGAGAAAAATATCTCATTTGAAATTTTTCTAAAGTGTATCTGCTTATCGTTTGGCAATCAGCTCCCACCGATATAATGACTGAGAAGGACAAAGTCTTTTATTTTGCTTTCCATCCCATCCAGCTTCTGTTAATATTTGTGAACGGACTAAGAGGATTTGTCGGTGCGCAAAAGGAAAAAGTTAAGCCCCATTAAAGACACACAGCAATTAACTAAAGCTAATTAGCTGAGCCTCTTTGCAAAATGTAAACCAGAAAGCCAAATATGTGGGTGATACTTCGAAGTCATCACTGTGATAGCCACTTCCAAACAGCTTGAAAAGAAATGCAGCTTTTTTTTAAAAAAAAATTAAAGCGTGAAGGAAGGGCAGAGTGGCAATTATTATTATTCATTTTTTGTAAACCACCTGGAGCTGTGTGCAATTTTGGCCTTTTTTTTTTTTAAAGTCTTTCCAGTGTATGTTTTAATTGTCTCTGGTTCTGAAGCCTCCTTCCTTTATTGGAAACCTAACAGAATTTTAATGAAGAAATGATCAGATTACTTCCTTGAAACAATTCCCGCCTTGCTAATTATCTGTCACCTCTTTGGAACAGAATTTTAAGTGGATGGTTTAGGCCAATGCACTTCTGAAAACATCCAATTTGGGGGGAGTCATTAATGCTTCCGGAAAGCAACGTGAACACTACTTTTTATTATCTTACATTAGTAAGCATTGGAATTAATGTTCTAATTAGATGACAAAAGAGGAGATGTGGAAAACCCCAGGGCAAACTTCATAGAATCCATTAAAAAAAATCACAGAAATATATATTTGGGAAAAACAATTTAATCCCCGAAATTTAACCAAAAAGTGCTCAGTACATCCCTCTGCTCGAATACTGCCAGGGATAATAATTTCCTCAACTTTTCAATAATGTTATGTTCTCGTCTGTGAAGTGACATGACTAGATGTCGATTTGTGCAAGTGACAATGAGGTATCTATGCAGATTCTCAATTCTCCAGGTCAGGACAGATAAGAGCAACAAAGATGATCAGGGGGCTGGAGGCTAAAGCATATAAGGAAAGGCTGCTGGAATTGGGTATGTCTAGTTTAACGAAGAGAAGGACGAGGGGGGACATGATAGCAGTGTTCCAATATCTCAGGGGCTGCCCCAAAGAAGAGGGAGTCAAGCTATTCTCCAAGGCGCCTGAAGGCAGGACAAGAAGCAACGGATAGAAACTAATCAAGGAGAGAAGCAACCTAGAACTAAGGAGAAACTTCCTGACAGTGAGAACAATTAACCAGTGGAACAACCTGCCTCCAGAAGCAGTGAATGCTCCAACACTGGAAGTCTTTAAGAAGAGACTGGACAGCCATTTGTCTGTAATGGTATAGCGATTCCTCCAAGGTCCCTTCCAACTTTATTATTATCCTTTATTCATTAGACATGAACTTCAGTCAACTGAACATCATCATCATCATTATTAAAATGGCAGCTATTGAAGGACTGATCTCTATTTGTCCATAAACTCCACCCTTACAATGTAGACATGACTAAGATAAGCAAATCTGCCATGTTGGGGTCTCTCTCTCTCTCTCTCTCTCTCTCTCTTCCTTTTTTCTCCCTCCCTCTATCCATCCATATGATGTATCCTGCAACTTACAATTAAACATATATCCTCTGCCAAACCATAAAAGTAGGATTTAATCCTTACTAGGCTGATCCGATTTGAAGATCTCCAGGAGACGTCTCTTTTATCTTTCTAACATCTGAAGTGCTTTTGCTGGGAAATCAAGTAAATACCCCCTATCTACTGTCTGCCCCTGTTTAGAAGAATTTCTTGGATAGCTGCTTCTGAGCTGTGTGACTCCTTGCTAAGGACTCCTTGCCCCAATGTATCTTTTAAGTCCAGACTGGATCAACTCTTCCCTGATGATTTTCTACTGAAAAAAAAAAAAAAACCACGTGAAGTTTCAGACAAAGTTGTTGGCTGAATCCACCGATATATAATTACCATAAATATTGCAATTTGGTCAACATTGTGTTGCAAATTGCTTTTTTTCCCGTAGCAATTTGGTGGTTGGGTTTATTGATGTTTTCTGCCTGGTTGCTTTTATGTTTAAATTATTACTTTGGATGTTACCGTTTCCTGATCATCCATAGATACGAAGGAAAGATACACATTTTAAGAAATACAGCAAAACCCTGCTTTGTTGTGGGTAACACGAAATGATGCCACTGTAGACTTTTGCTATTTCCTGTAGCAGTGTTAGTTATGTGTACAACTTGAAAGGCTAAATTACTGCTTTTTGTAATGGTCATGTCTTGTTGTGTTGGGCGTGTGATAAGGCCCACCAGCATGGCACAAACATTTGATGTCTCATAAACAAGAGGCTCTGTAAGTCTTTTAAGTACAATGAAAAAGATTCTTAAGATTGACTAAGTAATAAAATGTACAATACATTCATAGGAAGAAGAACTGTGCACGTTGTAAAAACGGCTGTTTTTCAGGGCTGCTAAAATCGATGTACTTTTTTCAAAGGATCAGTGTTTCTCAAACTTAACCGTTTTAAGATGTGTGGACTTCAAATTCCCAGAATTCCCCAGCCAGCATTCACAGACTTCAACTCCCAGAATGCCCCAGTCAGCAGTCCACATTTTAAGATGCTTGACTAGGAATTCTGGGAGTTGAAGTCTATCTATCTTCAAGCTTGGGAAACATTGTGCTGGGGTGTTATGGGCTCATCCATAGAGTGAGCTCTTGGCATAAATAAAGAATAACAGAGCTGGATGGGATCTTGGAGGTCTTCTAGTCTAACCCCCTGCTCAGGCAGGAAAACTGGCCTATACCATTCCAGACCAATGGTCGTCTTTATGCACCCAGGTTCACTTAACAATTGTGTTACTAACGCAGCAACAACGGCAGCAATTCACTGAACAGCTGAGGCCAGGAAGGCGGTGACCTAGGGCCAGCTTCACGGGGATGTGGGGCAGTAACCGTGGTCATAAACCGAGGTCGACCTGCAGCCTTGCGAGTGTCTCTTCCCACCTTTTGCTCTCTGAGAGCTCGGAGGACCCCCCAAAAACGGTTTTGATTCTTCAAAGGCGCCTTTGAAACTCAACCTTTCTTTCTCTAAGGGTTTGGCTGGCTGTCCTGCCTCTTTGAGCAGCTCAGAGACCCCGCCTGGGAAGGAATGGCTGATGGGGAGGGGAGGGGAGGGGGGGAGGGGAGTGGATGCTGGCGCAACTCTGGAATTTTTAGTTTGCTTTGAAAGGCTGCTCTGGGCTCAAGATGCCAGGCGTGTTTGTCCCAAGGCGGACGGGGAGGGGGGGGGGGTCTCTCTTTTTTGTCACCTGGTGGAATGTAGTTACGGTTACAGAGAGAGGCTGAGGGCCAGTTGCGTTGAAGAAGGCAGGGGTGGGATGTTGGCTTTCTTCCCTCCTTCCCTTCCTTTTGCTTCTTTCCTTTCCTTCCCTTTCCCTCCTTTCCTTTCCTTCCCTTCCTTCTCTTCTTTCCTTCCTTCTTCCTTCCCTTCCCTTCCTTTTCTTCCTTCCTTCCTTTTCTTTTTCCTTCCTTCATTCTCTTCTTGCCTCTCCTTCCTTCCTTTATTCTTTCCTTTTCTTCCATTCTTCCATTTTCTTCCTTCCCCTTCCGTTCTTTTCTTCCTTCCTTCTTCTTCCCTCTTCTTCCATTCTTCCCTTTTCTTCCTTCTCCTTCCTTTCTTCTTTCCTTTTCCTTCCCTTCCTTCCTTCTCTTCTTCCCTTTCCTTCCCTTCTTTCCTTCCTTCCTCTCCCGTCCTTCCTTTTCTTCCCTTCTTCCCTTCCTTCCTTTATTCTTTCCTTTTCTTCCATTCTTCCATTTTCTTCCTGTCCTTTTCTTCCTTCCTTCTTCCCTTTTCTTCCATTCTTCCCTTTTCTTCCTTCTTCCTTCCTTTTCCTTCCCTTCCTTTCTTCCCTTCCCTTCCTTCCTTCCTTCCTTCCTTTTCTTCCATCCTTCCCTTCCTTTCTTCCTTCCTTCTCTTCCCTCCTTCCCCCACCTCCCTCCCTCCC